GAGCCATTCCTAGGCTCGACAGGGGATCGGGAGCCCTTCCTGGGCTAAACTGAGGATTCCGAGGTCTCTCCTCCTCCTTTTGACCCTGAATTCCCTCCACATTCTGGCCCTTATGTCCCGCCATAGTCAGCGCACCCTCAGCCATGATGCAGGGGGCGGAGCTCCTCTCCGCGCTCACACCGTCCACGGCTTGCTCCCTCGTGGTGGGCACTGTCACCGGCTCTCGCACCTGGTCTGACGGGTTGGGCTCAACATCCGAGGCGATCCTCCACTCAGTCGCTTGGCTTTGCTCTGGCTCGTTGATCGCGGCGGGAAATGGCTCTCCGTCCTCGGTGGGCTCAGGCTGATGCTCCGTACCGTGGGGAGATGGTGGGCTGGGCTCTGGGTCCGAAGTGGCTCCGGCGAGATCCTCCACGGGGCCGATGGTGAGTGGCGACCCGTTTCTCGCCAGAGTCCACTCCACAAAGGCGGCAAATTCCTCCCGAGGACCATCTTCGGACGACCGCGCTTTGCACTTGGCGTTCAGACTTGCCCCATAGAATGCGCAGCGTGCGTTGTCCGGATAGCTGGTGACGTTAGCGACCATCAGGAACAGTCTGGTATGGTCCTCGAGAGTCCTACCTTCCTGCTCCAGCAGGAGGAGGAATTCGGGGCACGTGAAGGGATCCATGGGGTAAACACAACGGAAACAAAAAACTGAGTAAAAACCGGAAAACAAACGGAGGGGCGAACACGGAAGTTAAACTCTTTTGGGTCGGTTATTCTGTCACGGGCAGGGTGTACTAGAGACCAGGCAGGACGACGAAGATGATGAATCAAAGGATATTTAATAAAGAAACAGGCAATCCAGACAGGGTAGACATCAACATAGACAGGAACATGGACATTGACATTGACATTGGCATTTACAGGAACATAGACATTGAGAATAACCGACAAACTAGACTACAAGAGGCAGGAACTAATATAGGGCAGATAACGAGGGGCAGACAGGTGAGCACAATAAGGTGATTAACTGATAATGAGGACAGGAACAACCAAATAAGGACACAGAGGGAGAAACCACAATCAACAGTCCACAGGGGTGTGACAATAATATATTAAAATATAATATAATACAATATAATATAATATAATATAATATACACTACTGTTCAAAGTTTGAGGTCAGTAAGATTTTTACTTTCCTCCAGCAAGGATACATTACTGTATCTGTACTGTCTGACTGTATTTATGTTCTACTGTTAGTGTTATCTGTATGCACCAAGGGTCTGAGAGTAACGCAATTTCAATTCTCTGCGTGTATGTGCTGTACATGTGGAAGAATTGACAATAAAGCAGACTTGACTTGACTTGACTTGATTAAATTGATCAAAAGTGACAATAAAAACATTTATTATGTTACAAAAAAAAAATAAAAAAATAAAAATTTAAGTAAATGCTGTAATTTTGAATTTTCCGTTCATCAAAGAATCCTGAAAAAATGTCTTGTTTTCCACAAAATAAATTACATTTTAAAATATATTAAAATAGAAAACAGTTATTTTAAATTGTAATAATATTTCATAATATTACTGTTTTTACTGAACTTTTTGAACAAATAAACGCAGACTTGGCAAGCATAAAAGACTTTAAAAAACATCAAAAAATCTTACTGACCCCAAACTTTTGAACCGTATTGTTGCATAAATATAGCTCTATTTATTGTTTGTCATGTATTACCTTATAAGTGCATGGTTAATGTCTGCATCTTTTCCGGGGAACAACTTTCTTCATCACTCTGCAATGTGTGAGAAATGAAAAATCTTTCCTTGACTAGTAGTAAAGAGTACAGAAAGTTTTTAATACATTTATATTTATTCATTTAGCAGACGCTTTTCAAGGTGACCAAGAAAAGATGCAAAATTCAATGAAAATGTATGCGATAAATCATATGGAGTCAACAATATTAACACTGCCGCAACACCACACAAAAAGTGCAAAACAGTACAGAAAAACTTCATTTTGTAAAACCGAAAGTGGCTTTTAGATGAAAGAGTTTGTGTTCCAGCCATTAATAGACAGATAAACCTCAGCTTTATTTGCAATAATTCAATTAAACTCTTTGAAATCAGCAATAATAGGAATATTACCTGCAGTGACTGACTGTATACGAGTACAGGATCATGTACAGCCGGTCGTTCATTATCACAAAATAATGGGTTTATTTTGAAGTGTAATAATACAGGGCATAACACGGCTGCTTACCAAATAAAAAAGTAAATAGACATGAAATATTGATTTGGGCTGAAATCATTACATGAGAAGAAAGCGAGAGTGGAATGATGTGAGAGACTTGATCATGTCTGTGTGTGTTTACAGTGAACGGCGGCTGGTCCACGTGGACGGAGTGGTCGACCTGTAACAGTCGATGTGGGCGGGGCCTTCAGAAAAGAACCCGCAGCTGCACCAATCCCGCGCCTCTGAACGGGGGGTCGCCGTGTGATGGACAGGCCATCCAAAAAATCGCCTGCACCTCAGTTTGCACAGGTACCAGTCTACAGAAATGAATCAGAGTTTAATTTGACATGAATGAAAACGAAGCTTTGAGGGACAGAAGTGCGTGTACCTGTGTGTTGAGCATTCAGCTGGGACAAAAATTATTTGTGAAATTGTAATAATCTCTAACAGCCTTGTTTTTGTTTAAAATAATGTCAGAGTAATTTAATTATATTTAATAAATAAAAAAATATTTTATTCATATTGAAATAAAATAAATAAAATAGTGTCATAGTTATTCAATAGTATTGGAAACATTTTAAAATATTTATTTCGTATTTAAAAAAATGAAAATAAATTTAATTAAATTAAATGACGTCATAGTAATGAATAGTATTTAATAAAGTAATATGTGACATTATATTGTATATATTAATAATTTTACATATATAATTGTTTCATGAATATAGTTGTATTTGTTGTTTGTCATTTATTACCTCCTTATATCCTTATACCTTATATTTATTAATATAAATATTGTAACATAAAAGCATCATTTTAGAAAACAAAAATGTATAATGATTATTCTATTATAAGAATATTCTGTTCTTTGGGTGTAAAAAGAAACATTTAGATTTATTTTAAATAAACATGCCATCTACTTAGCAAATACTTAATCACTGCATTAATTCATTCCTATGTTAGCTTGAAAAATATTAAAAACTAAAAATGTGCAACAGATATCATTGGCTATAATAAAGTGACATATCAAACAGTATCAAAAATATTATATATATATATATATATATATATATATGTGTGTGTGTGTGTGTGTGTGGGTGTGGGTCTGTGTGTATATATATGTATGTATTATATATATATATATACATATATATATATATATAATATACATCACATTTTTATATGAAGTCACAATAATCATAACAGTGTTATTTTAGTATTATTTATATACTATCATAGTATTTATTAATATTTTATTTTAGATTTTAATTTAGATTTAATTAAGTTCTATTTTTATATTTTCAGTTTCCACTTTAATTTTAGTTTACGTTTTGGTAATTTTGTTATGTGATTTTGTTGTATTTATTCGTTTTTGTTTTTTTAACATTTCTATTTAGCTTTATTTTTATTTTAGATTTAGGTTTAGTCATTTTAGTTCTTCATCTTAATTTCTTTTAGTCATCTTATGTCATTTAGTTGCCAGAGCAACATTTCTAATTTTCATTTAAGTTTAGGTTTTTCATTTAATATTTATATTTTATTTTATTTCAGCTTTCTTGCAATTAACAAACAACACTGAATCACAAATGGAGGTTTTCATAAAGATCTGAGTTTGTAATCATGATACTACTCTGGAACTTATTACAATATTTCCGACATGACGTAAACGCACAGTGAGGTCAGTTCTTAAACATGAAGGGAACACAATGAAGAATTTGGTTCAGATTTTTTCCTCCATTGACATTTATTCATTTGGCAGTTGCTTTTATCCAAAGTGACTTCCAAATGAAGAATTCCTTCCATAAACAGAAGGATGGAAAAGTCACTGTGAGACTATTGAATTACAAGTGAGGAATTCCTTTCATAAAAACTTGATTCTTTTCCAGTCCAGTTTGAGTTCTTCACCTCTTGATAGCATCAGACAAATGCATCTTTTTCCAGGCCCATCAGTTCAGCTTTCAAGCCAGACACTTCCCCTATACTTTGGCCCCTAGGGGCCCCTAAGGGACGAGCACATTTCCATCCCCTCCTGCCTGTGAGAGTCAGTTCACTGTGAAGCAGGTGAGATTAAAGCATCTGCAGGCAGCAGGAGAGATGCCACAGTCACACGCTAATGACTGACCCACATACTGCAGCCACTCTCCTGTGACAGAATCCAGAGACAGGCCCAGAACCAGACTAGATCAGAGCAGAAGATGCATTATGTTTTATTTTATTTGTATTTTATTTTATATGTTTTTTTTATTTGATTTTGTGTTTTGTTATGTTTATTTTATTTAGTTTTATTTTATTTTATTTTTGTGTGCAATATCATTTTATTATATTGTTTTTATTTTTATTTATTTTTTAATTTAACTGAATTTGATCTTTTTGTTATTTTTAATTTTATTTAGTTTTTTAGAATTTTTTTTTTGTGCAGTGTGCATGAGGCAGTCCACGGCAGGGAATTTTTAGTAATTAATTAATCAATTAATTAATCAATGTATGTATTTATTTATTTATTTATTTATTTACAGTTTTGAGTCATTTTGTGTCCAATATGTAGGTGGTCCATGACAGGGACCTTTATTTTATTTCATTTTATTATATTTGTTTTTTAATTTATTTTATTTTACTTTATTATTCTTTATTTATTATCTTATTTATTTTATCTTATATTCCATTATTTTATTTTTGTATTATATTTATTATAAATATAAATATGTTGCATTATATTTATATATTATTTTTATTTATTTTTCAATTCAATTGCAAAATGCATGAGGCGGTCCATGGGGGGGGGTATTTATTTATTTAATTTTTCAGTTTAATTTCTGTGTGTAATATGCATGATGTGAAATATTACTCATTTACACGTGCAAAGAAGTTAGCCATTCATAACATGGCTCATTAACATTTTAAAACTACCCTTGACTCATGTATTAATGGACAAGGAATTAAATAAAATGCTACAATATGGCCTCTTTAATAAAAAGTAATCTGCCTCATATCACAGCTGAAGAATTTCTAATTGTTTCTGCTAACTTCTGTTGTTTCTGGTGTGTGTGTGTGTGTGTGTGTGTGTGTGTGTGTGTGTGTGTGCCTTCATATTATTTGTGGTTTCTTGAGTTTTCTCTCTTTGAAAGACACTAACCTGTTTGGAGGAAGAGAGAGTGTAATGCTCCTGCGCCTCAGAACGGAGGGAAGGACTGTGACGGAGTCACACTACAGTCACAGAACTGCACTGATGGACTCTGCCTACAAAGTGAGTGCACTTACACACACACACACACACACAGTCAGGCTGGATCCCTTTACCGTCAACATGATGTCGGAATTGAATCTATTTACTTTCTTAAGACAAGTTCCTGGTCTTGTGTTTCTGGTATTATCTGTTATTTTTGTATTTTTGTATACTATTTATAGTTTTTGTATTTTTTATTAGCTTTTATTTTTCTATTTTTATTTTTCATTTTAATTTTAGTTAAGTTGTAGCAACTTTAGTAACTGTCTTATATGCTTTTGGCATTTTTATTATTTTTTGTATCTATTAAGCTTAAATTTGTGTTTATTTAATTTTTAGTTTTAGTAATTTTAGTACTTCAACATATTTTTTTCATTTAGTTGACGAGGCAATTTTAATTGTTTATTTATATATTATTATAGTATTTATAATTTTTCAATTAGCTTTTATTTTTATATTTTCAATTTTTATTTCAGTTTTTATTTTATTTTAATTTTAGTTAAGGTTTAGTAAATTTATGTTTTTGTGATTTTCTTTATTCTATTTAGCTTTTAATTTATATTATATTATTTTCATTTTAGTTTTAGTAATTTTAGTACTTAGTACAGTTAGTTGACAAGGAAACATTTCTAATTTTCATTTAAGTTGCTTTAAGTTTGCATTCTAAAATTTATATTGAATTTTATATATTTTATATTGAAGCTTTATTTCAACTAACAGATTTTATTTAAATTAAAATATTTTTAAATATTTTAAGTTATTCAATAACAATAATGAAATGAATAATAAATAATGATCCAAAGGGGGAGAAAAGTTTATTTTTGGAATCCTACATAAAACTTTCTTTACCTCTAAAATGTCTTTGCTTTTCAGTTGACGTTACCCAGGCTATTTTATTTTATTTTATTTTATTTCATTTCATTTTCAGTTGATGTCACCAAGGCCACGTGGGCTATTGGTTATCAACTCTGTTGTCATTGTTTTATTCATTGCAGCCAGTAGTTTAATACCATATAACATGACAGCTCTGAAATACATCACATTACAAAAGTTAAATTGATTGCAAATATTGTTTCTTGTTTACTTTAAAGCTTTTAGATAATTTGTTTATTGCTCCTGTACATAATGAGGCACATAAACATGGCCTTTCATGTGTTTCAATTGCTGTCACAGTGGACACAGTGAGAATCTTTAAGAAACGGACAGGTGACATGAATGTATGTAATGACAAGCCATCAGCATGGCAGTTTAATTTGTTTGCTGGTTTTTAGAGCAGCGAGCAGTGATAGAAAGAGAGAGAGAGAGAAAGACAGGCCGTGGATGTGAATCTCCTCTGTTTGGTGTTGTGTAATGGATCTCATGTGTGTCTCTCTCTCTCTCTCTCTCTCTCTCTCTCTCTCTCTCTCTCTCTCTCTCTCCCCGCAGGCACTTCCTCACTAAGGTTTCAACTTTAAAAGTTCTTCCCCTTAAAAGTTGAGCAGGCACAATCCATTTAACCCCACTCAACTCAACTCTCTCAGCTCTCTGTCTTACTTGGTTACAAAACCTAGTAAATACCTGCTTAGACAGCAGGAAAATTTGAGCAAGTCCTAGCCAGGGGTGCAACCAGATAGAAACGTCTCGGTTACGTAGGTAACCCTCGATCCCTGATGGAGGGAATGGAGACATTATGTCATGACGACATTAGGGGTCTAAATTGGGAGCCCAATCATCTCTGAGTTTAAGAGAAAATGCCAATATGGGGTCTCACTTGGGAGGCCAATCATCTCTGAGTTTAAGAGAAAACGCCAATGAAAATTGGCTAGTGGATTTTGCACTCTGAGCCACTCCCCGTGCACACGGGTATATAAGGCGACAGCGCGCGTCCACTCATTAGGTTTTACGCTGAGGAGCCGAGAACGTGTCCCCGCAACAGCAAGTGATTCAAGGTTGTGGCATGGGGACATAACGTCTCCGTTCCCTCAATCCCGGAACGAGGGTTACGTATGTAAACGAGACGTTCCCTATCTGTCGGTCACTATGAGTTATGTCGTGACAACATTAGGGGTCTATAGAAAATGCCACAACCTGAACACCATCACAACCCTGTGACGCTGAAAATTTTGACAAGCTGTAGCATGTCAAGACAAAGCTATGCTAAGGTCGTAACCTTCCCAAAGCCCCAGCGCAAATTCACTGACCTTGGTACCGAAGGGGACCAAATGGTGAGTATATCACTGCTGGAGAAGCCCATGCTGCTTGTTCCATCCACAAAAAAGTTTTTGGAAGGGATTTCAACCTTCAGTGAAAGATTGCTTCAAATCTTTCCCATTTGTTCTTTTCAGCCTGGCAATGGGGAAGCGATGGGGAAGCGAGCCTTAAGGAAAAGGTCGCTACGGAGACCACATCCTACCCATAGGGAGGTGGCATGTGGAGATACTGATATGGACTGACCCAGGGGGCAGTACTACATATGGAATGGGTCTCTGAGGCAGGTCCTACCTTAGAGTAGGGATGGAACAACTGCCAGAAGAGACTGACAGAGCGGGTCTGTCAAGGGAAGACACAGGTTTACCGAGAGGGAAACCTTACCGTGGAAGAATACACATATGGGATTACCCGTAGGGAATCAAGCCATATGGACACCTAGCCCAGTACAGGGGCTGACCGGGACTCCGGGCATGCTAACACCAGTACTGGGACTGGCGTCAGACTGCTCCGCCAAGTCTGACTGACGGGGGTGCTGGAGGACGCTCGACCAGGGTTCGCCAACCGGGGAACTTTACTGGGAGAAGAAAGGCGCTCGCATCCCCGTGTGAGGGAGAATGGCGAAGCAAGCGTGACACCGAGCCAGTTCTTCCTGCCAATTACCTGTTACCCAACACACGGGAAGAAACCGGCTCTACACGAAGGCTGTAAAACCTCGCAAAGGTGTTAGGTGTTGCCCAGCCCGCAGCTCGACAGATCTCTGCCAGAGAGGCACCGTGCGCCAATGCCCAGGTGGAGGCAACACTCCGAGTGGAGTGGGCTCTCACCCCCAGGGTGCACGGCTCGCCTTGGGATTGGTACGCCAAGGCGATGACATCCACTATCCAGTGGGTCAACCTCTGCTTGGAGACAGCCTTCCCTTTCTGCTGACCTCCAAAGCAGACAAGGAGCTGCTCAGAGCTTCTGAAGCTCTGGGTGTGGTCCACATATATGCGTAACACTCTTACGGGACACAGCAACAACAAGGCTGGATCTGCCTCCTCTGGGGGCAGCGCTTGCAGGTTCACCACCTGGTCCCGGAAGAGAGTTGTGGGAACCTTGGGCATGTATCCAGGCCGGGGTCTCAGGACAACATGAGAGTAGGCCGGCCCGAACACAAGGCACTCTTCCCTTACCAAAAATGCTTGGAGGTCCCTGACCCTTCGAGATGGAAGTGAGCGCGATCAGGAGCACTGTCTTAAGAGACAGGAACTTCAGCTCAACTGAATCGAGCAGCTCAAAGTGACCCCTCTGAAGTCCAGCCAGGACAACAGAGAGATCCCAGGAGGGTATCAGGGGTGTCCTAGGAGGATTCAACCTTCTGGCACCCCTCGGGAACCTAATGATCAGGTCATGGTTTCCCAGGGACCGGCCGTCCCCTGCATCATGATGTGCTGCGATGGCAGCAATATACACTTTCAAGGTGGAGGGTGACATCCTACGCTCCAACCTTTCTTGCAGGA